TTACCACGAACCAAACGCTCAATGTCCAGGTGGTAGGCATTCTGACTGCTTGGATAGGTCATAGCATTCAACGCCTGATTGGCCGCCTCATCATTTTCCGTGTCATTGTGTGGTTGCTCTATCAGATTGGCAAACGCCATGATCGCATCACACATGGCATTTGTGGACGGTCTAAGCAACTGGCGGCGCAATCCACCAGCTCCGTCCAGATAAAGATCACATTTTGGTTCGGTGGGGTTAGAATAAACAGGCCCGGTGGATTTGTGGCCCAGACCGCTGCTCAGCGTGGTCACTGCCCCCGTGGGAATCTTGGGTTCCGACACAGGCGGGACGGGGTCGATGCTATCCTGGATTGCGGGTACGCGAGACGGCGAGCGTGCTGTCTGGGAGTGCAGGGAACTGGTCCCAGTCTGTTTGCTCCAGTCCCCGGTAGAGATAGGATATAACGAGCCGGTGCTATGATAGCGAACCAAGCGCCTCATGCCAGGAGAGGGAGGGAAGGAGAATATGAACAGATCGTCAAGCGGAGTACCTGTCATGACATGGGAAAGTAAAAAAAAAATCGAACCTAGTGGCAGATCCTCTGAAGTGGGACATGGTCAAGCAAAGAAACGGCATGCTTTAAGTTTTACGAACGAGGAGTGGGGAGGTGAAAGAAAAAAGAAACATTTCAAGTAAAGGATAGACTACATGGTCCGGGATATAGTTTCAAAACCAATGTTGGAGAACTTAACGAATGTAAGCAAATTCTTTCTTTATTACTTGAATATATAATTGTATTAGAGTGACAAATTGCGGAAAAACAGAAACGAGAAGAGTAGTGAAAGCGGGGTTCAAATACACGAACTCAGAGGGATGTATTACTAACCGCAACCAGTTGGTTAATACCTAAACAGATATGAACAGAACCGGTTGGTCGAGGGAATTTTTGACTCACACGACATCTATGATAATTAATTGCGTAAGTTACTCCCACAAACTCACTGAAAAAGAATCATTCAACAGCCTAGATTCGAATGTGCCAGATCAAGTCGCAAAAATTATTACAACTTAATCATAAGCTATGGGGGATTTTCGTTTTGAAAAACGGTGTGCTGGTCGATAAAAGGGCACTGGATGGTCCTTCTGTCTTTGTCGAGACCCATCAACAATACGGACTGTTTTCCCCTTCAACTAGGCATAGAATCGTGAACCTTGTTTGAGAGTGGAGGCCTTCTTATGCGCTTACAAGCTGCAGGGTCAACAGCACTTTGAGTGAATGGCTAAATCAAGTTTGATACAATCTCGTGAAGTTCATGCGAATTCACCGAGATCAGAGGTTGCATGTGTGCCAATACGGATCATGGTCCGATTCGCATTTGTGAGTTCACCTGCACAGTACCGGAATAGGAATACTCACTACCGCTTCATAGTTGACGCCGCCAAAATTATCAATTTGCATAACCTGTCGTTTTTTTCAACATAACTTTAAGCACACAAAGTGAACGCGGATTAAAGAACAAAGCAGTGGGAGAGCGAAAACTCCAATTCAGATGGTTTCCGGAGCTCGAGTACTCATATTAACCGTGACCGAGATGAAAGTGTATGGATAAACATGACGGAAAATATGGGAAGTCACTGCTGCGTTAGCAACCAAGGCAACTCAACCCAGCGGAGGTGGGTGGGTGTCGAACATAAATCGGGGCCAAATTTTATACAACTGCAGACATGCACTGTTAGTCAAATCAGAGGACAATCCGTCACAGTTCAGTTGTGTAGAGCAAACGAACGCATGAATTGGTCTTGGTGAGCTAAACTTCAGCAAATAAGGCCAAACCTCAGCACTGCTTGTCTGGTTTCCCCACTAGAATCGTGCAATGCGACGTAGACAGCGGTGTTCCAACACCGAGAATCATGTTTGCGTTATGGCAACGTCTGCGCACCGTAGACCAGGACTGGCCTAATTTCTACGGCTATACTCAACCCTTCGCGGACAGCCGGATGTTGCGACGGCGCCACAGATGTCTCCAGTTGGCGAATTCCAGTTGAGTTTTATCTACTCGTATCGACAAATCATCTACCACGCGTCCGCCAGGTGAGATATAGCTGCCCAGAAAGCAAAATTTATCTATTTCCTCTACTACTTGCGCACTCAGGATGAGAATGGGGGCTGGACCAACCCAATCTTGTAGTAACATTTTCCACTTTGAAGGTGCGAAACGCATACCGAACATAGATACGCTAGCCCTCAATCTATCCAGAAAAGCTTGCAACTTACCCGGATATTCACTTAGCAGCACAATGTCGTCTGTATATTCCAGATTGGACAGTCTATCATCTGGGAGCAACTCGATTCCGCTATGCTGGCACGCTGGTTCCATAATCGAATCTATGACAAAAGTAAATAGAAACGTAGACAGAGGACAACCCTGTCGAACACCAATTTCTGTAGTGAACTCGTGCGAAAACGTGCCGTAAGCTAGGACTCAGCTTCGATTATTGGTATAAAGGGACTGTAATATTAAAACAAAATTCTCGGATAAACCCTTTTGGATGAGGCAGCGCCAGAGTTTTGAGCAACCGACTGAGCGGGAAGCCACTTTCAGATGGAGGAAGGCAGAAATTGTGGGTCTACGAAAGGAGTTTCTGTGTTTTAAAACTTGTCGAAGGGTGAAAATGTGGTCTATACAACCTCGACCAAGTCTGAAACTAGCCTAGTTCCCAAGCATGCACGTGCGACAGACAATCGACGGAATATGACGCCAGTGAGAAATTTAGAGAGCATGTCAATTAAGCTAATTCCCTGTGGATAACC